AAGCAATCCCTGGTGTCTATCATCCTTGGCCATAAGGGTAGTCATTTGACAGATCATTTGTTTAAATTGGAAAGCCGCGAAACAGACAAAAATAAAGAAAATGTTAAATTTTTCAAATTACACGCAAAATACACACTCTTTGTTTATGTTCGAAAAATACACGCAAGCCAATCAAAATACACGCAAATCGTGTAATTACACACTAATTGGCAACACTGCTTACCGTTGCCCCGTAGACATAGAGTCGTTGGGCAGACATTAGATGATATGAGGGCGAGGCATTGGATTCGTGAGAGCGACATTTTCATAGTAGACCGAGGATATCGAGATGCTGGTTCACTCCTGCAAGGCGTAGGGATCGTCTACAAAATACCAATAGCTCTAAATTACTACCGAAGAAACAAACGAATCACGTTTAGTAGCAAAAACCAGGTGGATATAATTAAAGCACGAAATGGACATTTCAAAAAAAAAAAATTAAGTTTTTCATGAATTCGTGAATACTATCTTAATGGCACATCTGTTTATCTTAGCGACCTTTACTTTACAGAAATGCTAGAGACTAAATAGATATTATCCGCAACAAATTCTAATGGAAGGTGCTAAATGCTAATGCAGAGATGGCAAGAGAACTATTAGTAAGATCGCAATCTGTTAGCGTGTGGGTCAGGCACGAGTAGAAGCAGAAAATCTGAAAGCCTGACATGATACATGAACTCAGTCACAGGTTATGGAGCCAATTTTAGGGTATAATTAAAATAATAAGGAGACGCTGTCATCATTTGAATAGTGCAATAGAGAACGGTATCGGTAGGCGTGGCTAAGTGTCGGAACGATATGACTACTTAAACAGAGCCGAACTAAATGTATTCTTTATAATTTTTATCTAAAAACGTAAGAAAAACGAAATTACATCAAGAAAGAAAAAGTTGCCACAGAAACTTCAATATACTGAAACAGGAGATCCTTCTAAGACCCAAAATAGGAATTCTGGGCTTAAAACATTTTTCGCATTTAAAAAATCTTTGAATGAAAAATGCGGCTCTGATGCAATTCTGACGCGTTGGTATGACAAAGGTGACAGAATCTTAGACAGAAGTGTCGTAACAATATGGCGGAAGTGGATACGCTTTTTTCTCCTTATGTCACCTCCTTATTATTCTATCTCAATGGTATAATTGTAATAAACTACGCGTCAATCGAACTCGAACACCCCAATTTTTGGTCACTTTTTGAAAGGCTATAACTCAAAAACTAGTAGGCCGATTTTGTTCAAATTTTGAAGAGTGAAAGAATGCTCTAATTACTATTTAATTTCCAGTTTTTAACAGATTTCCGGTCACCTGCTAAAAGATACAGGGTGAAACATGAGTAGGCGATTTTTTTGCGAAAGTTTGGGTTCACCCCATTCTGCTGGAGGGAGGGTTAAGTAGATTTTTGGTATGCAGTTTAGAAGAGTACCTTGGTACCTCGGGACGTTTTTGAGATTTTTTGAATATCGCAGCCCACTACGATTTTATCTTGAATTATGCGATTTTATGTAAAATATAGCTATTGACGTCATTATTTCTTTCGAAACAGACACTACAATTATGGCGCATGTGGAAACACACTTTAAAACATATTATACAGGGTCATACAAAAATATACAGTGTGTCTATTTTTCTAACCAGAGGTATCTTGCTTATTATTAAAGATATGAGGTCGGTTGAATTAGGGCAAAGTCGCGCAATTTTATGGCCAATAAAATGGGGTTTAACACCGGCACCGCTGCTTATAGACATTGCAGGTGGTAAACCAAGAATTACTTCGGTCCGGGATGACAACAGAATTCTTTTACCAGTGCGACAAAACAGAACTCTCAATTCTTCGCGAATTAGGATCGCGTTAGGAATTGAAGCCTCAAAATCAACAAAGACGTCTCCATGAGAGAAATTTAAGAGCCAGACAGCATGTCCATTATTAGAAGCAGTCGAAGAGCACGAATAAACTGGGCTAATATTCATAGACAATAGACACTGGGGGGGAGTGGCTGAATGGTAGGGATGTTTGTTTGTGGATGAATGCAGATTCACGCTATATTAGAATGACGGGCGTGTATTAGTATGTAAAGAAACGCGTGAGAGCTACAGAAAAGAATGCATGGAAGTAAGAGAGGCTTTTGGTGGTGGTGGCGTGACAGTTTGGAGGGGGAGGGGGTTATTTACCGGAATTGGTAGACTGAACTGGTAATTTTAATGAGAGAAAGTATGAATGAAAAACGGTACCGTGATTTGTGTGTAAAGGCGTTTACACACGGACGTGGATGTCTGAAAACATGTACGCACATACATGAACGCGCGAAAAAAAATATCAATGTGTATGCAGAATAACATCACATTTTTGAATGTGCAAGCGGTAGAAAGACGGTCAGGTGAATTTCTACGCATCAATCGAACTCGAACACCTCAATTTTTGGTCACTTCTTGTAAGACCATAACTCAAAATCTAGCAGACAGATTTTGCTTAAATTTTCAGGAGTGAAAGGCTGCTTTAATTGCTGATTAATTTCCATTTGCTAACAGATTTCAGTCCACCTGCTGAAAGATACAGGGTGAACAATAAGTTGGCGATTTCTTTACGAAAGTTTGGGTTCACCCCATTCTGCTGGAGGAAGGGTTAAGTAGATTTTTGGTATGCAGTTTAGAAGAGTACCTTAGTACCTCGGGACGTTTTTGAGATTTTTTGAATATCGCAGCCGACTACGATTTTATCATGAGTTAAACGATTTTATGTGAAATATAGCTATTGACGTCATTATTTCTTTCGAAACAAACACTACAATTATGGCGCATGTGGAAACACACTTAGAACATATTATACAGGGTGCATTCATCCACAAACAAACATCCCTACCATTCAGCCACTCCCCCCCAGTGTCTATTGTCTATGAATATTAGCCCAGTTTATTCGTGCTCTTCGATGGACTGCTTTTAATAATGGACATGCTGTCTGGCTCTTAAGTTTCTCTCATGGAGACGTCCTTGTTGATTTTGAGGCTTGAATTCCTAACGCGATCCTTATTCGCAAAGAATTGAGAGTTCTGTTTTGTCGCACTGGTAAAAGAATTCTGTTGTCATCCCGGACCGAAGCAATTCTTGGTTCACCACCTGCAATGTCTATAAGCAGCGGTGCCAGTGTTAAACCCCATTTTATTGGCCATAAAATTGCGCGACTTTGCCCTAATTCAACCGACCTCAGATCTTTAATAATAGGCAAGATACCTCTGGTTAGAAAAATAGACACACTGTATATTTTTGTATGACCCTGTATAATATGTTTTAAAGTGTGCTTCCACATGCGCCATAATTGTAGTGTCTGTTTCGAAAGAAATAATGACGTCAATAGCTATATTTTACATAAAATCGCATAATTCAAGATAAAATCGTAGTGGGCTGCGATATTCAAAAAATCTCAAAAACGTCCCGAGGTACCAAGGTACTCTTCTAAACTGCATACCAAAAATCTACTTAACCCTCCCTCCAGCAGAATGGGGTGAACCCAAACTTTCGCAAAAAAATCGCCTACTCATGTTTCACCCTGTATCTTTTAGCAGGTGGCCGGAAATCTGTTAAGAACTGGAAATTAAATAGTAATTGGAGCATCCTTTCACTCCTCAAAATTTGAACAAAATCGGCCTGCTAGTTTTTGAGTTATACCTTTTCAAAAAGTGACCAAAAATTGGGGTGTTCGAGTTCGATTGACGCGTAGTTTATATACCTGCAAATCTGGACCAAGAACTCGAACCTATGCACACGACACGTAGCAAGTGTATTGTGGTACCTATTTGAGCGACTCTAAAGAACCTACATTATCTTCTTACGTCATTATTAACTAGTGTATCAGATGCTGCTTGACGACCAATGGAAAATTGGCAAATGGCAAATCAAAGAAAGCGACTTCAACAATATTGTAATATGAATTTTTCGTGAGAAAATGTTTGCAATTCATACGCGAATTATTTTGAAATACTTGATGAACTCACTTCTGGGAGCTATTCTGTAATACTGATTACATTGGCATTCATTCAAAAATTTCAAACTCTAGATTTCGACAAAAAAGAAGAATTCTAAAGATATCTACATAGAACCTTAAGCTATCATCCCTCGATCAGACAAAGTTATTTTGTTATAGTCATCTATATGCCTGTGTCGGCAGAGACTAGGTACGCCTTCTGGAATTGCACCTTCGAGGGTATGGGCAAAAGTAATTCGAATGATAAATTTAAGCTGGAAATTTCCCTTGTGCAAATTATACTGGAAATTTTGCATGCAGATTGTCAAAATTAAGAAGTGGAAATTTTTGGAAATATCCCGGAGAAAATTTCCAGAATTGTCATTTTTGACATTGATGCCCGCTTTTCCATTTAAAACGTATTGATGTCAGAAATCTGTCAAAGTGTATATTTTTTGACTAACGCAATTTAAATGGAAAAAATCAATAACAATCACCATCAATAAAAAAATTCAACAAGACGTAGTAAATAGACTTCAAACTCGGGAAATTTCCTATCAAAATATAACTCGTGCATAAAATATTTCCTAAGGGAAATTTTAAAAAATTTCGTCGTTAGCCAATTTTTTTGAACAACTGATAACTGCTGGACTGATCACCGAATGGTCCCATCTGTTATGACTCTACAAGCACCACCAGAACAGAAACGACTGCAACGCAGGTTAAATATTGAACGACTGATAGATGAAGACAGCAATACAGACTTCCAGTTAAATTGGAACATTTCAATTCGATTCTATTCTAATCATGCACAAATCGAAATTTTATTAAGTTTTTTCCCAAATCCCACAAGTTAAAAACTAAATTTAATAATATTAATATTACTTATCTGTAGAAAATTGGAAAAATAGTCCATTCTTCCCACAGTGAAGTAGTGGAGAGTTTCACTTCTTGATATTATCTGTACTGTAGTATTTGATAATTTCTTATTATATTTTTATTTCCAGCTTTTTTTACAATGAACGGACACAACGGACATCAGAACGGAGACACGAACGGTTGCGGCGGCGACATCATCGCCCAAAATCAGCTGAAAGGGTGCTGGACCATCGGCCTGATCAACTCGAAATTCCGTTACTTGACCGCCGAAACCTTCGGGTTCAAAATCAACGCCAACGGGACGTCATTGAAGAAAAAACAAATCTGGACTTTGGAACCGGACACGACCAGTTCCGGAGAAAGTAAGAACTGATTTTGAATATTTGAGGTTTTCACTACTACCTACATTAAAGTTGAATTTCATTATATTACCTTTTTACATAAAAAAAGGAAGAAAAACATTCAAATAAAAAAGAAAAAAAAAAAGAAAAATAATAAAACAAAAAAATCAAAAAATTAAAAAGAAGAAAAAAAAAATGAAAAAAGAGAAAAAACTGAAACTTGATTCAAAATGGAATAATTTTTAATAATTTTTTCATATACAAAATGAGTTTAGGAACCAATTCCCAATAAGTGAAAACTTTATCGATAAATTTGTTTTTCTTTCGTTGTAGGTCTGATCTATTTGAGATCCCACCTGGACAAATATTTGGCGGTGGACTCTTTTGGGAACGTGACTTGCGAAAACGAAGAAAAAGATCCGGGCAGCAAGTTCCAAATAAGCGTTGCAGAAGACGGCACTGGCCGATGGGCGTTGAAAAACGTCGTTAGAGGCTACTTTTTGGGAGCTTCCGCTGATAAACTTACTTGCACGGCTAAAGTGAGTAAATATTATCGATAATTATTTATTTTCCCTTCATCTATATAAGGAAAAGATTCTTCCTGCAAGTGTCCATTCTACACAGTGTTGTCAACTTGGTAAAATAACTACCAGATCTGGTAATATCGACCCCGGTTTTAGTAATGAAGATTTTCAAAATATATCTAGTAATATTTCTGGTTATTTGACAATTTGACATTTTATTCCAGCAAAATTCTGGTATTTTCGCATTAGCAATCAATAATCTATTTTTCTTGAATTTATGGTCGTTTGCACCGTCTATTTTGAAGGAACTTTAACGATAATCAACGCTTAAAGGGACATTTTTACATGTTCGAATTTGACATTGGACATTTGAATGTGCAATTTGAACCAATAGGAAAGAACTTTGCAAAAAATAGATCGCTATTTCGCGTCTTGTTATGCCAAATGTTACCAATATACCCATTAGGGCCGGTTTATTCACCTTCTGATAAACTGTCAGGTATGCAATCTGACCCATATATAAACGAAATATATGTTATCCCATTGGTTGGCCAGTTATCCGTCGACCAATAGAATTATAGAACGGTGCACATATCTTGCAGAGAGTTACCAAGGAGCTTATCTGAAGATGAACAAACCGGGCCTAAGCATGTTTACCAATTTCTGTAATGTTATGTTATACAGAATGGATTTTTTTTTTACAATAATGTATTTGTTTGTATATAGGTATCCTGTGTAGGTATACCTACATTAGGTATGCAGTGTTATTTTCTCTGAATAAGTTTTATTTTTCCATACTAGATATTGTTGTTATTGCATTTTTATTTTAAACCTAACGAAAAAAAAAAATTAAAATAAACAATTGAAATCTAAAAATTTTAGCAAAATTATTGTTTAGCAACGAAGACCTAGTAATATTCAGGTATTGGCAGGATTGAGAAAAATCTAATAATATTCTGTTATTCCAAGTTTTATAATCTGATAAAATGGCCATTCATATAGTTGGCAACACTGATTCTACAATTTGCTAAGGAAGCTTTTCTGGAGACATTCGCTAGACATGCCTATACCATTTTAATTGTTGTTTTTTCGAATATCGTCAACTGTGTACTTGACTTGATATTCAGTACTTTGCAACTTTCTCGTTTCTCTTTTGATTTGCCGGCAGCCGGTAGCTCGCCTCCCTCCATTTTGGTAGCTTCTATAGTATTTTATTCGATCGGTCCATAAGTTGCCACACTTCCACGTGATCCAGATTATGTTGTACAAGGATAAATTAACATTCAAATTTTTTTTAACTCCTGATTTTGAAAATTCTCTTCCAGGTTCCTGGTGACGCCGAATTCTGGCACGTCCACTTAGCCGCCCGACCTCAAATGAATCTCCGTTCGGTGGGCAGAAAACGGTTTGCTCATTTGTCCGAAAATCTGGACGAAATCCATGTCGACGCCAACATCCCTTGGGGCGAAGATACTCTTTTCACTTTGGAGTTCAGGCAGGATGAGGGCGGCAAATACGCCATACACACTTGCAACAATAAATATTTGTCGTTGAATGGTAAGTGCTCACTGTCTACCATCTACTAACGTTGTTTATAAAATATTTTTTCAAATTATTTCTCTAAGGAAAACTGGTAGAGACTTGCAATAAAGACTGTCTATTCTCGGCCGAGTACCACAGCGGACAACTAGCGCTCAGAGACCGTCAAGGTCAATATCTGAGCCCCATTGGATCCAAGGCTTTGCTTAAGAGCCGCTCCAACACCGTTACCAAAGACGAACTGTTTTCTTTGGAAGATTCTTTGCCTCAGGCCAGTTTTGTAGCCGCTCTGAATAGCCGGTTCGTCAGTGTCAAACAAGGTAAGAGATTTTACTTATTCGCGACTTTATTTTCGACAACTTTACTCGTCTGAAGAAATGAAGAAATAACTGATGAAATGAAAATTACTTGAAGTTGAAGTTAAGATAAAATCTGCAGCAAAATATTTCATTGTAGAAGTGATATTCATACCAGAACTCGATGAAATCTACCTGATGGTCTGACTAGCGGACGATTGTCTCCATTGAAACTGCATTATTTACTTCTCCTATAATTTATGGATTTATCATTGTCATCATTACAGGATAGAACTATATATTCATCATTGAACTTCTGGAAAATAAATAATTACTTTAGTAATTTTCAATTTTAATGTAATCAAGATATTCTTCTGTCAAACTTTCAACCTTTGATCTTGTGACCAGACTTCTAGGATTAAGTATTACATTACATCCATATACCTAATATTAATATCAGTTTTTCATGAGTCGCTGTCTTCGGTTCTAATAAATCTATTGGTCTTAAGAGGTCGAAAAATAATTGAAACAATTATTTCTGGCGTCTGCTTGTAGTCAATTACCCGGCTGGTAACGGAACTTGCCGGCATCGAAAAAAAAAATTGCATGTAATGTTAAGTAATCAAAGCGAAGATTAACAGTAGATATGCCTTTACGGTTTGTGTATGCAATTATCTGTGTACTGGTTCTATTAGCGCAGTATATAGATTGACTTGGAAATATTTTTCTAAAAGTAACTATGGTTTATTTTTTTCCAAGATAGATTTTGGCATTGTCAACTTTGAAACATAAACAATGCCGCTAATGCCGCTTATTGGTCGCTATTGTAAAACTAATGTCAACCTGCAGAAACACCTCATTTTGCGACCAATCAGGGTCAAGCGTTATTGTTTATGTTTCAAAGTTTTCAATGTCAAAATCTATCTTGGGAAAAAATAAAGTGTAGAGAATTTATAAGTATTTTCAACCTTCAAATTAAGGGTCAAATAACACACAACATCAAATCTCACATAGCAAGACGAACTGAATTCAATAAGGTTCTCTTCTTTAAATTGAAATCAAAAAGAAATAAGCTCTTTCATACTTATGCCAAAATTCTAGCCAAATGATAATAATAAAGTCTCAGATCGACCAAAACTATCGATGGTAATTAATTTAACAGAATTCTAGTATTCTCCAAAAGCCAATAGAAACACAAGATAACTTTCTTGCCAAAAATATCCCAAAATTATCCAATTCGGGAGATACATTTTGTTGTTGTTTTACATTGCTTTTCAAGAATTTCCCATGTCGCGTTTTTCACAGGAAAAATGTAAAAATTTAGCATAATCAGCCGTATGAATAAAAATAGAGCATTTGCTTCTAAGCAAAAGGTAGAAGTATAAGCAAAAGCTTCAAGTAAAAGGTAGAAGTAGAAGCATTTACTTCATATCATATGAATAATGAAGACCTTTTACTTGCTTCAAAGAAATGAAGTTAAAGATATTACCTGTTGTACCTGTTGCTTGAATCTGGCTCGAATGCCAAATTAAACCACCAGAACGATAATATCAATGGACTTTGACATTCCATAGGAAGTGGTAGTAAAAAAACGCCAATCATGGAAGAACACAAAGCCACCGCAAGCATTATGGCACCGTTGATTGGTGGTACACAATCACACAGAGATGGTTCGAAGGTAACGGAAGGAGTCGGTCTTGGAATAACTGAACCAAACTTTAAAGTTTAAACTCTCATTAGCAATGGGCAAAACGTCCACAAAATTTCAAACTGAGGTTCTGGCCATAAGCATCTGTGCCAAAGATTGTCTTAAAAGATACCTTTTAAGAGAGCACATTTACGTACTGTCCGACAGTCAAGCGGCTCTAAAGGTTCTAGAACCCAATCATGTGCAATTTTCAGCTAGTTTGGGAGGGTAAAATATCCTTAAACAACTGGCTGATAGGAATAAAGTGGAGAGGGCAACGAGGAGGCGGGCTGTCTCACGAAGCAAGGCGCTTTAACACCTTTTCAAGGCCCAGTGGCCTTCTGTGTACTAATGAGAAGCCACGTCTCCAAAGAAATCAACAGATGAAGAAGGTTCATATATCTGAGATCTGAACAGATTCTTGACAATAAACAGAAGAGACATTGGAAGAGTCGTTGGTCGACTGCTCACTGGGCATTTTCTGGTGAAATCACCTAAAAACAATAGGCAAATCAGTTTACGTTTACTGCAGATCTTGCGAACAAGCATTAAAGACTACAGAACACTTAGTCTGTGAATGCCCTGGTCGCTTCTGCAAAAGGCTGAAATACCTTGCTCATACCCCAAGAGGTGAGTACTTTACCACCCAGGAAGCTGGCTTCCTTTGGAAGGAGCCTACAAATCTTGAACACTAGAGCAGCTGGAACAAGCTATAACGACTGCTAATGCAATCTACAATCTACAAAAAAACGGGACATAGGAATATTCGGAAATAATTTACCAAAATAGTAAACATACATCTGCTCTGGAGCAGATGCATTTTGCAAGGAGTAAATGCTCCCAATTTGAAGCAAATACTCTCTTTTATTTATAAGAAAAAGAGTATTTGCTTTTTCCTGGAGCATTTGCTTCCGACTTTTAAGTATAAGGTTTTGCTTGAACTTTTATTCATACTGGATGAAGCATTTGCTTCAGATTTTGCGGGAAAAAGCAAATGCTCTTTTTTATTCATAGGGCAGAATGTGAATACATAAACCAATGAAAGCTTCTTCATCATATATTCTGTTGCCGAAAGAAACAGCTAATAGAAAAGCCGTGGTGCATGTAAAAAATAACGATTAATTCTGTTTTGGATGGAGTATTATAAGCGCACTATTTCCAGTTGACAGAAATACTGAAACGACAACTTCATACTCTGATTTTCTGGCATTTAAATTTTGATGGACTAGATTTTCCCATTATCTCCCCCAGGATCGAAGAATCAAGAGAAAAATCACGATGCCCAAAAGAAAATACATGATATATTGAAGAAAATACAATTTTATTTTTCCCACAAAGGAGATAATTGTTCTGGAAAAGTGAATGACCTTGAAATTTGTAAAAAAAATTGCCTGCGGCGCATTTACGGGGAGGCGCCCCCTGATCCAAGTACCATTTACTCCCCTCCCAGACTGCTTGTCAGGCGTCGCCACTGTAGAATGGGTACCTTTTACTTTTTGCTACAAAAATTTGAAAATTTTCGGTGATTTTCCAAAAAAGTATGGAAATGTAGGGAGATGCTTTGTTTCACATTGCTGTTAAAGGTTGATTTTCAAAAATTTCCCATATCGTAGTTTTTCGCAAGAAAAATGTAAAAGTTTGGCATAATCTACCCTATGAATAAAAAAGGGCATTTGCTTTTTCTCACAAAATACAAAGCAAATGCTTCATCCAGTATGAATAAAAGTTCAAGTAAAATCTTATACTTAAAAGTCGGAAGCAAATGTTCCAGGAAAAAGCAAATACTCTTTTTCTTATGAATAAAAGAGAGTATTTGCTCCAGATTGGGAGCATTTACTCCTTGCAAAATGCATATCGACGGTGATCTGACAATACCTGCTAACTGACATTTTATTCAAAAATTAGATTTTTCTACAGTTAGCCTTGTATTTTTGTTAGGCACAATACGATAGAGCCTGCTATCTGCTATCTGCTTTCAATTAATATTTAATACGTCTGTTTAAAATTTAGATATTCACTTGTAAATTTATTTAAATAAGAACGGTTTTTTATTCCCCCTGTGAAATTAACGTTTATGCACATAGCAGGTATTGTCAGATCACCGTCGATATGCTCCAGAGCAGATGTACGTTTACGATTTTGGTAAATTTTCGAATATTCTTATTTCCCGTTTTTTTTTGTAGATTATAGATTGCATTAGGAATCGTTACAGCTTGTTCCAGCCGCACTAGTGTCTAAGATTTGTAAGCTTCTTCCAAAAGAGGCCAGCTTCCTGGGTGGGTAAAGTGCCCACCTCTTGGGGTGTTAGCAAGGTATTTTAGCTTTTTGCAGAAGTGACCAGAGCATTCACGGACTTGTTTTTATTGCTTGTTCGCAAGAATTGCAGTAATCGTTGTCTGATTTGCCTATTGTTTTTAGGTGATTTCACCAGGTAATGCCCAGTGATCAGTCGACCAACGACTCTTCTAATATTTAAAATTCTTCTGTTCACCATGAAGTAGTTGTTCAGATCTCAGATTCTTCATCTGTTGATTTCTTTGGGAGACGTGATGTGGCTTTTCATTAGTACACAAAAAGGCTTTGGGCGTGGAAAAGGTGTTAAAGCGCCTTGCTTCATGAGACAGCCGCCTCCTTGTTGCCCTTGTTACTTTATTCTTACCAGCCAGTTGTTTAAGGATATTTCTACCATCCCAAACTAGCTGAAAATTGCACTTGATTCTAGAGCCTTTAGAGCCGCTTGACTGTCGGATAGTATGTGAATGTGCTCTCTTAAAAGGCCTCTTCTCGGGCTTCTTTCAAGACAATCTTGGGCACAGATGTTTATGGCCAGAACCTCAGTTTGAAATTTTGTGGACGTTTTGCTCATTGCTAATGAGAGTATAAACTTTAAAGTTTGTCCAGACCAGTTTGGTTCCCAGACTGACTCCTTCCGTTAGCTTCGAACTGTGTGACTGTGCACCACAATTACTGTATTCCTTTTATACATCAAGTTACACCGAATGAACTCCTCGGAGTCACTCCAAAACACACAATTCAGAATTTATTATTATTTTTTAATATTAACATTACTGTCATTACCTAAAAGGGCTTCTTGCATCCCTCGCAAATTTGGTGCATCCTCAACGGGTAAAAGGAATACAGTAAATGATGCGTTGTCCGCTCGCAGTGGCTTTGCGTTCTTCCATGATTGGCGTTCTTTCACAACTATTTCCTATGGAATGTCAAAATCCATTGATGTTATCGATTTGGTGGTTTACTTTGGCATTCAAGCCTTAGATTCAAGTAACAGGTACAACAGTCAACAGGTAATATCTTTTACTCCATTTCTTTGAAGCATATGCTTGCAAGTAAAAGGTCTTCATTATTCATATGATATGAAGTAAATGCTTC